AATTCTCGATAAGCTTGCAAAAAATTTTGCAAGAGCAATTAGTGCTAAATTAGACTTGTGTGTAATGTATTGTGTTGTGTAGATTTCCATATTAGTGATGATGTTTTAAGAAGAAACATAATAGCAAAGTTTAAATTATGTTTGTACAAGTGTTTAAAAATTTAGTGTCAGCAAAAAATAGAAGTGTCCTAAATATAAAATTTTCCATAATAAATATTGCTCAAGCTTTATATTAAAAAATCGTGAAAAATTATTAAAATTTATATGTGCTAACAAGGAGGTTTATAGTTATAATATTTTGCTGAAACTTTGCATAGTGATAGAGTCGATAGTCAAACCAAATCCGTTAAAATATTATAGGCCTGTGAGTTTATATATTATATTTATATATTAAAATTAATTAAAGTGGCAAAAAATACCCCACGCGCATAGTAAAAAGTAACTTTATTGACTTCTTTGTTTTTGCTATTATATTTCAAATCCCTTGCGTTTCAGACAACCTGATATCAAGCAGTTATTATATATTAGTTAGTGGAAATAGTCCTTCATTGTTAAAAAATGGGCAAAATCTGGATTGTATGCTTATAAAGAAATATATCGAATACATAGGACAACCTATCGTTGAGAAGAAATATCATTACCAAGAGCAATTTTCAATAAATTTTTAGAATTATTTTATAACAATTATTTTTTTCTTTCAATTTTGCAACTACTTGACCCCAGGCCGGATTTCCGCTGACGTGATTGGCCGAGCGAAACGGCCATTGACCAATCGTGTTAAAAGATTCTGACTCATCATCACGAAGTTGTAAAATAATAACAATATTTTATTTAAAATATAATAATAAATTTTTATATAATAACTATTATATCTTTTAATAACGATCTCAACAAGAATTAAGGATTTTTTCAACCAGAACATGAGACTGGTGTTTTTTTTTTGGACATTTTGGTGAACATGGTTTTGTAACCATTTTTTTCAAATTGGTGGTTAAAATTAGTACAAATTGACATTTATTAATTTTTATAAAATGTGGTTCTTCTAAAGCAAATTCCGGTAAAAAATCTAACAGTACAATTTCATTTGAAGTACAATTTCTTTTGGAGCAAAAATTGGACTTCCTAGTAAAAATTGAGGCAGGATTTTCTTTTAAGGGATTTTCCATTAATTACGTGAGGCGTTTAGGGGAAGGGGTTTGACAAAAAAAAAACATGAAAAATCACGAAAAAGAGAGAGGTCTAGTAAGATATCAAGTGTATTTATTTTTTGCTATATTTTTTCAAAAAAAATTCCAAACATTTTCAAAAAAAATCTAAATTATTACCATTTATTCCTGTAACTAAAAATAGACGTGTGTGTTTGAAGGGGAAGGAGGGGTAGTTTTGAATATCTAGTATCGCCAAGGGAGAGAAAAGGTCCAAAATTCCTAAAAAAATCGATCACGTGACTGATGGACGCCCCCTAATTTTACGTAAAGCAATTTTTTTTTTATTGGTACAAATTGGTTAAATTTTGTCAATTTGGACTAACTAGCTTAAAAAAGTAAAGAAAAAGAATTGCTAATTTGTAACATCATCTTGCAATTTTTGGCACCTATAATAAAATTTAACTAGTAGTGTCTTAATGCAAATTGCTGGAACTTCCAGTACCGTAATTTAAAGCTTGTAAAAGCTCATAAAAGCAAATCGATTTTTTTGAGAAATTTGATTTTTTTTAACTTTTTTAAAAATGTTGAGAGTATTTGGATAATTTGGATATTGAAAAATAAGCTTTTTTGAATTTACTGCTAATTTTTGAAAACGTGAACTAACTAGTTTTTTTTTTAATTTTTTGTTTCAAAATTTTGGAATTTTTTGAAAGTTTTTGTAACTCCTCATATCAGTTGATTCTTCACACCCATTTTTTCTGCGGTATGCCAAAATGTTCAGAAACCTCTGAAACTGAATTTTATTTGTGTAAGAAAAGCTAAAGTGAAATTATTTAATCTTGAAATAGTTTCTAGAAATGTGTTATTAAATTATTATAAACAGTTTCAAAGACAAATTTGTGTTATAAAATGTATTAGTGTAGTGTAAACCAGTAATTTTGGAGTGATTTTTTATGTAAAAGTGATACCCAGGACAAAATGGCTTCAGAAAAAGTCATCCAAAATGGACATAATAATTTTGCTACAAAGGATGATAAAATGAAGAAAATTCTACCGATGATTTATTGCCCAAAACCTTACAGTCAGTATTACGATATATACATATATAAATTATAGTTGTAAATAAAAAATTGTGATTGTTTCTTATGTCTGAAAATTTGTTCATGTCTTCTGTTTTTTCATAAATATATATATATATATATATATATATATATATATATAATATTTGATAAAATTACGATAAAAACACAATTCTTGGAAAAAACATACAAAGAATAATTTAACAGGCAATTAAAAATGAATTTCGTTGCTTGAGAAAAACAGAAACAAAATGTTACACATGGAAAATATTTACTCATAATTTATGTATATTATATATATATATATATATATATATATATATATATATATAATAATAAATTGTAACCTCTTGTTACTTGTCAAGAAAATTTCTTAACGCAAATTAAGGTTTCGCGAAAGTTAAAGAGAAATTATTCGCAGTAACATAGATAATATAATTACAATCTGCAAATAACAACCAGTTAATTAGTTCTTGACAATTTAAACAAATGATTTAGAATGACTTGAAACGTCTAATAAACGTTAAAAATAATCGATATGGATTTTTTGGCAAAACATTAGATTTTTTTGGGGGAAGTTTATTAAGTAATAAACAGATGCGTTCGATAAACAGATTCGTTCGATTTTCTTGCACTGAAGAGTGGTGTTTTTAGTAAATAAAAATTTTGTACTGCAATTATTTCAAACAAAACAAAGATTGTCCTAGGCTTCCTATTTTGGAACATTTTTTAGCTTAGGGAGTAGTATAAGCAACACAAGCTTAGCAGTGAACGTGTTATTTTTTTTTTAATTTAAATAGATTTATTTTTCCAATTTGTATGTCGGGTTTAATATTTTAAATTATTATGATTGCACGAAACGTGTAATTGCAGCCAAAGACAAGAAATAAAAGAGTAGTAGAGGCCTACTTACTTGCTTCTTAGAAAATGGGACAATTTCACTTATTTCTCAATGCCTTCTTATATTATATCTCATAAAAAGTAAAAGAAACTATGATACTTTAATGATTTATCTGCAATCATACTGTCACGGTATTTCAAAAAAATAAATTTATACGAGCAGAACTAGAAAATACATAATGACTTACATAAATAAAATTAAAACTTCAAAATATTGCTCCTCCTTAACTAAACTAAAAGATTTGCAAAAGATATAATTTTTTTTTAACACATTCGCTGCTAAAAAATTAGATAAATAGGACTAATTATGTTTAAAATATTTACCGTTCAAATTTTTCTTAAAATAGGCGTCTCACGCAACATATGCGTGCGCTGCAATAATATAAGTTTATTATAATTTTTCTCCACAAGTGTATTTAAGATAACATTCCGGAAACTCTATAAACAGTTATTATATGTTTTCATTGCTATTTATTTGTAATTTATCGTTATCCTTAAGAAAAAA